TAATTTTTAAAATTTTTTATTGTTTTGTTTTTGTCGTACTGGGGATTGAACTCAGGCCATTGCGCTTGCAAGGCAGGCTGCAGAACCACTGAGCCAAATCCCCGGCCCCTCTCTCTATGTTTTTAATTTTGAGAGAGTCTCGATAACTTTCCCTGGTTGGCCTTGAACTTGGTGACCCTCGTGCCTCAGGCTTCAGCTCTTGGGTTTTAACACACTTTCTTCCAATACGTATCCTGATGGCCGAGGAAGCAATGACTCTGGACTCGTAGAGTGGGGAACACAACCAGGGACACTCCTTACTTCAGATGAATGTTCTTGCATGGTCATTCGGGTTCAACTAAAACGAGTGCAAATTTCTATCGAGTCAAATTTTCGCTAGGTTAATAAGCTGAAGCAGAGACGGCCCTGTGTGCCCAGTGTGTAAAGCGCCCTGAGTTGTGCACACCTTCCTCTTTCTGTCCTGTGTTGGCAATGACTGAGTTCTCAGCTTAGACCACAGTGCACCTGTTATAATGCTGCCCGTACCCAGTCTTCAGTGAATGCCAGGAATGGACTCAAGACACCTGAGTCCAGCTTTCATTTATTACTCGAGGTTTCCTGAGTCTGATTGTATTTTGGGTCTTTCAGACCCCGAACCCGTGTTTTTCTGTGAACCAGAGAAGTATGACTAGTCTGCTGCTGTGTTTCAAAGTCCATTCCGCAGTGGGTAGCAACCTACAGACAGTTCTGAGAAGATTACACAGACCGGGAAAATAGTTTTAAGGGTGACAGGTGCCTAGGGAGCCTCTAACATGATCTCTCCAATTTACCAGTTTTACTCAGTGACCTGTGGTTGCCGAGACAAACGAGGAACTGGAGTCTGAGCTTCTTGGCTTGAACCCATCCCGCCCACCTCTGGCTTGAGAGCTTTCCTCATCATGTACTGCTGCCTCTCCTTCAAAGGGGAATACAACTTTTCCAAAGCGGCCCTTAACTTCCTACCTATATTATTTCACTTAAGATAATGACTGTGGTGCAAAAAAGCAGCAAGTCTAAATGCAAAGATTATGAGGAAAAGGTCCAATAGGATGAAAAAGGGAGTAATTTCTAGTTCAGAGAGCTGATCTTCAGGAACACATTTTAATGCTCACCCATGAAGGGGTAAAGGGGCCTTGGGACAGGGCCTGGGGGGCGCATGCAGGCGAGGGCATTAAGTGGGCTCTGCAGGGGAAAGCAGATTACACAGAAACTTGCCAGGGATGCCAGGAAGGTCGGGGTCTCGGCGGGCCTTGGGGCTCTCCTGGGGTGAGAGGCTGGGGACTCACCACCCCATCTTTCACTCCTCTGGTAGTTTCTACAGATAAACCGTGCTGTAAAGTGCAGAAATAACAGATACACAAACAGACAAATCCGAGCAGGGGCCCAAAGGGGCCCTAGAGACCAGACAGCCTCCCCAACCAATCTGCTTCGCTCTCTGCCAACTCATCCCTAGTGGAGAAAGCCAGAAGGGGCAGCTGGAAGAGACACAGCCACGCAATACAAACCACAGGCTCAGATTAGGGTTACGGGAGCAAGAGGTAACTGGGGATAGGAAACCCTCGGAGGGTTGTTAGGAGAACTGTTTCCAGTTCAAAACAACCAAGCTGATTATCTTTATTCACTTACCAACTTCTGCTGTTTTAAAGACACATTTAGGGGTGGTCAGATTACCAATTAAAAATGGAATACCACCGTGCCTGCATGCGAGCCCCTGGAGTTTTAGCAGCATGCTGGGGCTCGACTTTGAGGATATGGAAAGGGGCCCTTCTCAGCTTCCTAGCACCTGTGTCTTCCTCCGAAGGCCCAGAAATGCCGGCGAGCACGAGCCAAAATTATTCTTGATGGACTCCATCGCTGCACCCACTTACCAAACAATATTGTTGTTACGACTACGTGGTGATTTCTCTAAGAAGGTATGAGGTGATAACAGGCTTTCATCTGCTGCAGTGACCAAGTCCAACACAACCCAACACCACCACTATGGCGAGCACAGCTCAGCTCTCAGATGGGGCGAGGGAAGGCATTTTCCCCTATATCACATTTATTTTATAATGCTATTAATTATAAGGCTAATTAAAAACCAGTTTGGCTGAATAAATAAAGGGTATTGTAGAGTGCCATAGATGAAAAGAATGGAAGAGAAGCTCTTGAGAGATCTGACCATGTTAGATTGTCCTGCAAGGAAAAGCAGGTCTGGAGCAGCAAAGAGAGGGTTTGGGATCCATTTTCTGAGATCATGAATACTAGGGTAACACAAGGTAGTGGGAGGCTGCCATGTACATGCCATTTAACAAGTCTCCCTCCCTACTCTTTTTTTTTCTTTTTTTTTTGGTACCAGGGATTGAACTCTGGCCCTTGTGCTTTTGAGGCAGTTAGTGGAACCACTGAGCCAAATCCCGGCCCTCTCTCTACTCTTTTTGTTTTTTGTTTTGTTGTTGTTGTTTTTTTTTTTTTGCTTTGTTTTTTGAGACAGGGTCTTCTTATGTAGTTGAGACTGAACTGGAACTCACTATGTAGCCCAGGCTGCTCTCAAACTCACAACGATCCTCCTGCCTCAGCCTCCCAAGTGCTGGGATTACAGGCATGCGCCACCATGCCTGGCTTCTACTCTTAATAGTGACGTTAGCATGCATGTGAATCTACTGTTCCTTTCCGGCCAGACATTCAATTTTTAGCTTTCTTTTTATAAAAAAAAAATATTAACTTTCTTTTTTGGTTTATGTCTTAAAAACCTGCATTTCAGTAGTGCTTCCCCACTTTATGGATATTTCTTTTCTCCTGAAGTATTCCCACCTATCTTGTGATCTTGTCGAGCCTTACTTGGAGGAGGACAGGAACCCTCAGCTGTTGCTCAGTTCATCTTTAGTTTTTCCACCCCTTTGTGGAAAAAAATGAATCCTAAGAATAGTAAAACGTCTTTCTGAGAAATGGAAATTCTCGAAATTCTGGAATGAAAAAGCTTTCATCCATTCTTCTACTCGTTTCACTTTTCCATTCTTTCTCTTGTACG